TTTCAATCTTTTACTTATGTACCTACTGAGAATCCCTAATGGTACAGAAATTTTTCTGTACAAGAAACTGGGCCTATAAAATGGAGGCAATATAGTACAAAGGAAACGACCAACTCAGGTGGTGATGGTAGGTGTCAAACACAGAACTTCTGACTTCAACCTGACACGCTTTGAAAGGGAGCACTTGCTATCGTTTTATTGGTTAAGCAAAAGGTTCAGGCATAGACAGTCAGCGGATAAATGTTACCATCCCAAATATCTAGAGATAATTTGCTTTAATGTCACCGTAATCTTCCGGCTTTTTTCAGTTCTGTATTTCCCCGAACAAGGTTTAATTGACTGCAACTCCCTTCCCGATCAGTAGTTGCATCGTGTTTTAATTTCCTAACCATAAAGAATATAACCTACCAAGTACCAATCATGTGCTCTTTCTACTAGAAAGGAAAATCTGGGTTATTTGACCTCATCCCCGTTGTGAGATCCTCGGGGTCGGTCCATGCAACGATCGGAAATGATTGAGATGTAACTAAGATCCATAAACGGTGTACTTACTTCGTTCATTGATTAACTGTAGCCTTTTTGAAGTGTTTTCTTGAATTTATCTCTTCTGATCACTTTTATATATCCCTTTTTCATTGGGCAGTCTGGGTGCTAACGAAACAAAGTGAAAGCAAAACAGGGAAGTGCAAGGGTCCGGATGTTATATGCCAACCTTAATTAGCTTGAGGGGATGTCATTTTTTAGTTAGTTAGTGAATAGAATGCAAATACTTTTCGTGAAGTTCATCGTTTTACTTTCTAAACGTTTTGCTGATCTGAATTAGATCATTTGGAAGGAATAGGTGATGCCCAGGCCTGGTTGATGTTACCATTGTCTCGAACTCTTTGGCAGTCCGTTTTCCACCATCACTTGATTTCGGGAATATCTCAACCCAGTTCGGACCTGAATAACCGCTTTGGAATCTGAGATCATACCATTCAAAACGAATGACCTGGAGCATATTATTCAGTTCAGTTCAGTGGGACTTCAACATGAAACTACCCATTGAACTGATCTGATTTACGTCCGGGAGAAACGAAAACCGGTGTTTCGATAAATTGGAAGGGACTAAGGTGATGATCATGTGTCGACACGATTTGCATATGCATATTTGGATACGATATGAACCGGACCCAACACCATAGGTTGCCATTTTTCAGTTGAACAGGCGAGTTAATCATTAACATATGGGGGTTTTAGGAGAAAAAAAGCTAATGAAAATGTTCTACAGTTTGACTTAAAAAAGGCCTTCCAAGAGGGTCGAAATGTCGTCAACCGAAAATGGTTGTTCTTTGGTTTTCTCTCGTGGCTAATCCAAACATTCCTATACGGATCTAGTACTATTAGCACGACGCACAATTTCTTCAAAGACATCCGTTCCAACTTTGAATGTGATGCCGTTCTACGGTTTGCATCGTAATTGCATCTTAATTGGTCTCCACTGTGAATATGGTTGGTACGAACTTGTTAGGAGTAAATTATCATTTGTTTGGCTGTCACATGAAGTGTCCCTTGTTGGTCATCTGGCCAGGAGAGCGTAAGTGCTTGCATAAATTACTTCTGCACACATAGAGGGAGATTTTGAGGACGGAACCTGGTTGCCTCTGCTGCGGCTAAAGTACGAAACCGCATGTGTCTACACCGTCCCCTTTTAACGCTAAACAGGGTTTTGAAAGTTTCAATCAAGAATAAAGTGTGAGCACTGTCAACAGGGTGCGATACAACCGTACTTGTGGTTGGCTTCATTACTCCACTTTTCAGTGTGATTCTCACGGACGTGCTTGAACAGACGCCTTATTATAAGGTGCTCCATAGCAGTAAGCGATTGGGTAGATATATCAAGAGGCAGCGGAATTGGGTGTTTTATTCTTCAAGGGCGAATGCCCCAACGGGCTAAATGTGAATGGAGTCTGGAGCTTGGCTGTGCGGAGCCTTTTTTTGTCACAGGGAAAAAGTAAAAAGATATACGTAGCTCTTTTACGGTAGCAAGCTTGGATTAGCCCATTGGACTGTTAAGAGTCCTGACAGGGACACAACAACTACGCACTGCTGACCAGTCCCAAACAGGACGAAACAGCTGTCTAGTGCTCTTTATCGGTTATCACAAACATTTCCATCGCATACAGATTTAAGTAGCCTTTTTCTCAATAACAACCCTCTTTGGAAATCCCTCGTGTCTTTGTTTCCTGGCTGAAGGTATTCCGCATGCTTCAGAGTTCATCAATCTGCATATTCTCCCCACAGAATCTTCTAACTCAGTTGGCCAAACAGAGTATGAGGTTCTTTTACCAACTTTGTGGTACAAATCTACGGAAATAAATACACTACCCATTCCACATCTGATAGACGTCTAATAGACACATCGATTTAAGCAAACTTCTAGCTACACTGGTTCATTTTTCGCTTCATTGTAAACCTCGAATTTCTATTTCCGATGTTCAGGATTGAAACTGTCCGGTAAATGTTGAAGCTCTGCAGTGGAATTGACCACGATCGACATATCGTTCACATAACGCTGTGTATAGTACATATTTTTCTGTGTATCAGTTGAACCGTTTTCTACTTTAGAAATAATAAAAATAAAAATAAAATATCAGTAAGCGAACACCCTGACGGAGGACCCCATTGCTACACCGTCCCTCTGGAGACAGAGAGGATTAACTTTGCAATTGAACTATACATTATGGGTGCAGAAGATTAACGTTGTTTTCGATCAACTGGCTGTAGGTCTACGTGAATTCGGTTGCTTTCAATGTGCGCAAAACCAATTGTCTCGGTGAAAGCAAAGTTCGTGAGGAGTAATGTGACATCTATCAAAAACATGTGATGATCTTTGCTATTCAAGCCAAATCAGGCGTAAATGAAATCGAATGTATCCTCAACGGTATGCTGTGTTTTTATTATCCTCATATGTTCCCGAAGATGAGCCAATTATTTGGTCACTGTGTGGCGAGGAGAGTTGCAGATGTCCAGAATCGGTCGCAAGTGAGCTACTCTTATTTAATTTTGTTAGCCCACACATTGGCGGAACCATCGCCCCGTTGAGCGAACTCGTCCGAACGTGGTGGTTTCTATTCAGAAAATTTCTATAATGATATGGTATAAAGAGACTTCTCTGTTTGAGATATCTTAAAGTTTTCTTGGGGAATTTTTGTGAATTTCTATTCATGGTTTAGACTCTGCAATCTTTTTGACAACGCCTGAATTATTACAAAAAACTGTACATAATTCCTTATCTGGTGTTGTTATGATCACTTCCGTATTCCTCAGTAGCTTTCTTGTTCAATTTACGTATTATTCCGTTACTAATCAATTGGTCAATGATAAAAATGTCTCAGAATTTGTTATCACTTCTGTTGGTCAGTGTTTGATGTTATTTGGGTCACTGGTTCATATCACAATAAACAAACCCCTCAGCACCACATGGATAATTCCTCCAATTGGAGCATGTCACCATTGCTTACATTTATACCAAAACCAATCGCAAATACCTTTATTCAGAGAGTGACATTTTCAGTATTTTATTCGATGAAATGTTTTATCATCATTCACGCTATTGAAGCAACGCGCTATAAAAAGCCTCGACAAATATATATATCCATAACGAAACCGAAAATATCAACGAAATCTTAACTGAAGAATTTTCTTAAACAGATAACCATAGAGTCAGGCTGCTAAAAGTACCTGAGAGTGTACATATTGATATACAGTTGTTGACTATAAAATGTTGTACTGAGTTTCACCAGAGAAGGCAGATACCCCAAAGGGTAGAATTTGGTTCAGAGAGTGAGCGTCGACGAGGGGGAGGGGTAGTTTCTCAAAGGCGTGCGTATTAGATGATGAGAAGTATTGCTCCTTTTTATACAAGCCTAACCTCCCCGTCCATTTCACATTTAAGCTCTCACTCTCTCTTTTGGTGAAAAGTATTTTTAACCAATGTGCAAGCTTTTAAGCTTGCACAATTGTCGTCAATACCAGTAGAGATAGAGACAATCCTCTCCCCTGCAAATATTACCTTCTGCTCTCCTAATTGTAATTATTCCCATATTTTTCGGATCTGTGGTACTTTGTCAGCATTATTGCGTGATGTCTGATTTGACTAAAACCTGCTGTCAGTTATTCCCGAGTATACTATATGACGGTATATTCCAGTTTGTCTGGATGGCATCGTACATTGATTTTCGTGAACTCTATTTCCCATTGTATATGTCGTGTCGAATCTTCCCAAGAAGAAAAATTATTATTTGTATTGATTTGACGGTCACTCTTTTCTTGGAAGACTGTTAGCATCGGTTTCCGTTTCTCCGCAAATCTTTTTGATTTCGGATAAGGCCCCTTGTAGTACATTTGAATGAAGGCTGCGATAAACCATATTGCCTTCAGGCATAAAATGGAAGCAGAATATGATAACAATTTTCCACATGTGTGAACACGCATTTCATTTTGAGGAAACAGGATTGCAGTCTGTCATAGGACATCAGAATTTCGGCTTTTGACATTGATCAGCACGTCACAATGAATAATAATTCGACATTCCCTCTCTCTCTCTCTCTCTCTCTCGGTACCTATATATAAGTATATATATCACGTGGACGGATGCCGATCCAACCGAGAAGGTTCAATTTGTGTAGGTAGTCCTGAATTATAGCTACACTGGGTCTCATTACCTTTCCACGTGATTTCTTTGTCCACGGTTTAGTAACTTTTCTGTGTGCAAGTTGTGTGTTGCATAGAATTATCCGCAGCATCATTCTCTTCCAGCTTTTCAGCACACATCACGTGATTCTCATCCACTCGCTGCGATTTCGCACGTATATGTGCGTGCCAGGACGAAATGCTAATTAGGATGTGATTGACCAATCCTCCACTGACACCATACGGACCAAGTGTCAGATTGTACACTCGTCAATACTGGTTCAGGGTCAGGTCTCACAGTCATACCGAACCAGTCTGAGCAAGTCATGGCCTCTATGTCCATCTTTCCACTGACCTATTTGGGAAATTCCTTACTTCAACAAACTCGTGATGACGAACTGGAGACGATTTATGAGCTTCTCTTTACGCAGTACTTAAACTTTCTACGACGTGTCATTGCTGATGAAAAGACCATTGGGGAAACTTTGTCGGAGTCATTTCAAACCGTGATCATAGCCATAGGAAATGGTCAGTTTACAATTCGCACTACCGAAACAGAACGCTTTAAGGATCAGAAATTTCGCAAACACTTCGAGAGACGTTTCACATCAGATCAGCTCATTTATTTCAACTGTTATTATTTTGAAGTGGTCACTCCGATGGGACGAGATGAGAGAAAATGCTATGCCTATTTTCGTCGGGCCATTGACACGAGACGTTGTGTGCCTGAGGATGCTTTGGTTCAGTTGGACGTTACGTTGAGCCAGTGGTTATTGCGCAATCGTCATTTAACCAGACCACCATTGATTTACTGCATTGTTGCAAATCAAGAAATGAGCGCCGGCTTAGACTGTCATGTGTTTTTAGCTGACACTGTCCAAGTCGGTTTACGTGTTGTCCGTTGTCTAGCAGAATTGAGACAACTGGTGGAAACAACCCCTGCTGGACTAAATGTGCCACGTCTGGATAAAAGATATCATTCTCCGCGTCGAAATTTGAGTAGACGCCAAGTGAACCGTCGGCGTCTTCCAGAACGCACGGGCATGAACGTTTA